GAGCACAAAAAACTCTCCACCGATTGACGACCTCAAAGATTTCGAGAAAGACATGACGAAAATGATACAATCATAAAAATTTTAAGACCCGATCAGCACATTACTCAACAAAATGAAAGATAACAGCACTGCTACTAATCGCTGCCGGCAAAACAACAAATTTTTACAAACTAGACAAGCCAACATACTACGAAATCCTTGAAGAAAATATCGCATAATCATACAAGAAATCAAATGCCGACACAATAAAAGCCATACACACCAAAGACAAAAAATTACACGTCTTAACTGAGTATATCTGACAGAGTAGAAGCCACCGCCCACAAAAATGCATTCATAATACTCAAAGACCAAACCTTACGAATAAACCACCAGCCGACTTATCAACATCTCATGGAAAATCATCACACATAGCAAACCATACAACAGCATCAGTAAAAGATGCAACCTTTGACTTAAAAAAAATCTTCATCCTCTACCAACCATCTAAATTAATACACTGTTATATAATAATAGTTGTATAAAACATGAAACTGTCTCTTTTAAAGAGCTGTTTGATGAAAAAATAATGTAAATAAAAATACTTCATTTCATTGGCACGTTAAAAATTACAATAACTAGCATTGCCAGCCTGCCAGTTTTAGGTCGACCAATGTAAATTTCAGACCATTATAAACTATTATGACCTGGAACAGTCATCGAAGTCCTTCAACACGATCAATACCGCGTCAAAGTCGACGGTTCCAATAGAATTACACTAAGAAACAGAAAAATTCTCCGGCAATTCACACATGTACAAGAGCAAATATACTATTGATACGGACCAGCTGCTTGATACCAAAAGTCCCACCGGAGGACTTTTCTCCCAACAAAGTGACACCAGCCAACAGAAAACCACCACCGTCATTACCACGTCTAAGACAGTCGACACAGACTTATACCCTGGAGCAAGCACTACTACTGAACATAGATACCGCAGATAAAACATCACCGAACGCAACCATGATACCTGAGCATACCAAAGAACCCACACCAGCGACTACAGCCTAGCAAGAAAGCACCACTGGCTCTACGCAGATTACTCGATTTCAACAAGAAAGGGCTATTAGAAAATTGAGATGATTAACAAATATCAAAGGACAACTTTATATTACGCTTTTTTCAACTAGAAAAGACTTGGGGTGGGGGATAGAGCATAATGGGATAATTGTTGATTAATAAGGGACCTGGACAAGTCTGTTATTGTTGTTTATCATTCGTAAGCGAATGGCCTCTGTATTTTGTCTCTCAATATATAATTTGCAAGATCCTCATTTCGTGAAATAGACTAAGTCTCATCTAGTTACTAGAATGTGAGTGATTCTAATTGTTTACCAATCTTATTACCAAACTCTTAATTTACTGCTCAAAATTATAGAGTCACCAATGCAAGAGAATTCATTGCAAGTTCCTGAGATCCCAGTTCCAGCTAAGGTACCTGATGAATTTGAGGAACAATCAAATGGTAACCTAACAATATCAAGGCACATTTTACTTTGTTACTATAATTAGATATGCCCCCCTCCCAAAAAAAAACAAATCATTCGTAGAATGAAATGATAGCTTCACAAGTGTTTTAGTCATACTAATAGTCTTTAACTTTAGAGCCAGAATATGTAGAACAATCTACAGGTATTCCACAACTGTCTCAATCTTCATCCTTGCCTGAACCAAGTCATGGGATGGTAAGATGAGGGCTTCCGTTCCATTAAAATCAAAATGTACAGGTTTGTTTTATTTTAAAAATGCTTTTATAGCATTTTACAAAGTATTTTTTCGGAGAGCATATATTTTTTAAGTATAGCATAAATTTCTCAAGTTTGGCAAAAATTTTTTAATTTTCGCATATAGTTTTTAAGTTTATCAGATATATTTTGAGTTCAGAACCGATTAATTTGATTCAGAAAATGCAAATTTAAAATTCAACACTTACTTCTTCTGAAAGACAAATTTGTCCGATTTGACGCCTCATAGTGTAACTTAAGCACTTTGACCTATATTCATTATAGGTATTCTTAGAGTGGGGGTCTGTTGTCTCATAACTGGGAGCGGCATAGAAAAGGAAGTAGTAGTCTCAAACAAATATTTCAAAATATATATGCGCTGAAGAAAAATAGAAACTTTAATTCTGACTGTTTTGCTCAATATAAGAGCTCATCAGGATTGCTAGCATGGTTTTAAAAAGTAGCCAGAAATAGACAGTCAACTGCAGCTAAGTTTTTGCCAAACGAAGCTTTATTTTAAGTACCTGGTTTTCATACTTGTACATGCTGGCATCATCAGTACCCACAAAGGAATCACATGTACATGCTGCTCACCCCATTCAATATATCATCACATTTAAGTAGACATTTCCATATTTATAGAAGAGAAATTAGTATATAGGGTCACTCACTACGTGTATATTGAAACAGATATGTTTTCAAGTATAAAAAAGATAATAATAATTATGATGGGGTCACCACATTGAAGTACATAGCCACCCAACTATGCTAAACAATTTACTTATGGGGTCACTACATTGAAGTGCATATCCCTCCGAATATAAAAAAAATTACTAAATGAGGTCACCAAATTGAAGTAGATATCGCCACCAGCTATACTAAACAACTTACTTATCTGGTCAGCACATCAAAGTGGATATATCCTTAGCTATAGAAGAGAAAATTACAATATGAAGTCAACACATTGATGCAGATATCTCCCTAACAGCAAGTCTGCTAAAATGCAGAGGTCACACCTTTACAACAAGTTTTTGTCAAGTAATATCGTGTTGACGCTACTCAAGACTAAAACGAAACTTGAGGAGCCAAATCATAGATTGGCATTGTAACTTATTCATGAACAATAATATTTATTGATATAGACTATGACTGAGTCAAGAAAAATATTTTCCTTTTTTTACAAATATTTAAAGTTTTTTAACGAAATTTCTTTTTTAGTATTAGTGTTGTGCAGCATGTGCGTTTTCCAAATCTGTATTCTATTCTACTTTTTTGAATTTAAGATGAGTTTGGACTTTACTCAACTCAAGGAAGATAAGAGATTATTGAATTGGTTCACATTATAAGCCGACGTTTTTTCTGTTGATAATCAAAAAATAAGCTGTTGTAGAATGCAAATGATGCAAATAATCTAGTACTAGTAGAGTAATAGTATTTACTATACAACTACACATAATGTTTTATTGTTGTCGTTACTGTTTGGCAAATAATAACCATTTCTAAATCATAAGTTATGTAGCAGATTCAATTTCTCGCAGAGTTTTGAGCTTTTTATCTAATGAGCTGTGTAAAGCATAGGGCAGTATGTCTGAGTGTAAATCTATTTCAAACATTTATTAAAGTAGTGGTGTTTGCTTGTTAGACTTATGGGTTAATGATCTGCCACGCATTTTCATAATATCATGGCTTCAGCCTCGTCAAGAGAGCCTCTCCCCATTTGATAAATTAAGTTCTACAGCACTGGCTCAACCTTTAATCTCATGATTTGACTTAAAGCAGGACGTTTATTTCAAAGTTTTGTGCTTTTTCACTGGCAAACATATGAAAAAGAAAACAAATCATGAAAAATATAGATGAAATTATTGACTTAAATACAAATAATTGGTCAATTTCGTGGTATTTCAATTAAACTGCATTAAAATTTCAAACCTTAATCTAAAAAGTCATTCTTAAAAAATCTGATGTTTGACAAGTTTGACTTTGTTTCGAGCCATCTTCACCACTGCCTGGATCTGCGCCTGTACAGATTTTTACTTCAGCGTGGCTTTCCCGTGGCTAAAATTAGCAATTCAAATTTGTAACACAAGCAACTGAGCGTAACAAACTAGAACTTTTGTTTGAAATCTTTTATTTTTACAAATAATGCTATAGGTAACGTATTAATTTAAAATAACTTTAAGTATTGTTTTAGTTTGTGCTAATTGGCTATTTTACCCTTCAATAGCATATGTCAGGCATTTAAGACTGACTAATCTACTTATTTATTATGCAAACGTGGCCTGTCTCTTAGTAACAGTAATCTTGAAAAAATCTGTTTAATGATCGTGACTAAAACACCACACGAGTACATACGAGTACATACGAGTACATACGAGTAACATACAGTACATACGAGTGACATACGAGTACATACGAGTAACATACAAGTACATACGAGTAACATACGAGTACATACGAGTGACATACGACTATTTTCTGGTCAACAAATGAGAAACAACACAATTTCTTCAATACATTGATATTTGCGTTTATTTTTCCATTATTTGTGTGGACTTTGGGACAACCACTTGATGGATTTAAATGCTGAAAAGGTATTTTACTTTCATACTACATTCATTTGTATGTTTTAGTTGAATTTGTTATAGATATTTTGTCGATGCAATTTGCCAGTATTTGAACGCTTTTTTACACACTTTCACCTAGGAAATACATATTTATGAAAGCGATTAAATATACAACGTATAAATAATGCCTTGAAAACGTGCTATATGAAGTCATCTTCAGAGTCAAAATGAATGTATAATCGCTCTCATAAATATGTATTTCCTAGGTGAAAGTGTGTCAAAAAGCGCTCAAATACTGGCAAATCACATCGACAAAATATCTATAACAAATTCAACTAAAACATACAAATCAATGTAGTATGAAAGTAAAATACCTCTTCAGCATTTAAATCCATCAAAATGTTGCCCCAAAGTCCACACAAATACAAGAAAAATAAACGCAAATATGAATGTATTGAAGAAATTGTGTTGTTTCTCATTTGTTGACAAGAAAATAGTCGTATGTCACTCGTATGTACTCGTATGTTACTCGTATGTACTTGTATGTTACTAATATGTACTCGTATGTCACTCGTATGTACTCGTATGTTACTCGTATGTACTCGTATGTACTCGTGTGGTGTTTTAGTCATGATCGTATTTAATTACGCACTTAGTGAGAGACTGTTTTTTTTGTGTCAAGGAATAATTTAAAAAAAAAACTAGACGACGGTAAATGATTTTTGTTACAAAATATATACTTCGCGTACATTTGCACAGTTTGTGTGTGGTGTCAACATTTATTGATTCATTGAAGATCACTATACTTTACATGTAGTTGTGACAACATAACTATAAGATTGAGCTTCGTCGTTTTGTATAAACATGCATTCGTTATATTTAGATAATCTAAATCATTCGTTATATTTAAATAATATTTAGATGGCCATATCGTTGATGCCATATTTCTTTGGTAGTATCACTTGTAGAAACATTCGCATGCTTCGAATAATCCTGTTTTTCTTTAACATCAAGAGCGTAAAGGTTATTCATCATTCTTTCTAATCAAGATATAGTTCCATTTTGATCAAGTATCAAGCAATGTCTTGATTATATTCAACTAAGTATCGTCGTTTTGCCGTATTACTAACTGAGAAGAGAGTTTTTCCTAAATCCGGAACATATAGAACGTCAACCAATCTTCTTGGTTCATACTTCTTCTTAGACTTAATCCCAATGTGTACATTTCCTTTTCTATATGCTTGAACTATTCTATCACCTACAAGCTTTACCTTTTCAGGGGATTTGAATGGAATGAAATCAACCATGATATCCTTATTGTATGACATATGAAATTATGCACCTGAATCAATAAACCATGCAGATTCTTTGCTATCTTTAAACAATGATGAATTCTGAACTGTGGCTTCGTAGGATGCTTCTTCCCTTTTATTTCTATCGTCACTTTGCTGATTCTGTTTGGCTTTGCGACATTCTCTAGCCCAATGTCCTGGTAACCCGCAGTTATGACAATTACCTATCTTTTGAATTTGGTGTTTTTTACTTTGTCGTTTTTTGGACTTTTGACATCGTAGTGCTTTCTCACCAATATCCTTACTTTACATTTCTGTTCTCCATGTAAACGTCTAGCAGTGATGAATTCTAATGATAAGTCATCTGCTCTAGATTCCAATGCTGTTATTAAGCCACTGTTTGAAGCAGGTAAACTACAAAGGAGTGTAGACACTTGATCTTCCTCGGGAAAAAGACGCACCCAATGCTTCTAATTGACTTGCATTATCTTTCATCTTGTTGAGATGTTCGGTCATGGAATCATCAGAGTCCATGCTTGTAGTCAAATACTTCTTTCGCAAGAATAACTTATTCGCCAAAGATTTGACTTCATAATGACTTTCTAATTTCGCTCAAGCATCCTTTGCTGTACGCGATGATCGAACGAGAGATAGCTGTTCATCGCCGAAATACAAACATATAGTGCAAATGTCTTTCTTTCCCGCCTTTGATATTGTTGACGTTGAGTATCAGTAGTTCCTTCACCATTAGATTCTACCTCATCGCCGATAGCTATTTACCAGAGATCCTTCTCTTCAAGTAACATCTGTATCTTAAACCTCCAAAGGTGAAAGTTTTGGCCATTGAACTTTTTGATCCGTTTAAATGCTTCGTCATTTCCCGAAGTCACCATATTCAATATTTTGCACTTATGTAAGTTTTATTCTCATAAAATCGCAAGATCTCATATTTTCCTTATTTGTTATCATCAGCAGAAACTCAAACGCTCCTAGACCCATAACCCATTAAATTATTCGTGATGCGGCAATAGAATTCGGATTGTACGTGAAACATTTATTATTTTATTGTGGAACAAATAACAAGTTAAGTATCAGCGAACAACGATATTACAATAACAAGTTCTTAATATCACTTAATCTTACATGTGTCATATCTACTTAATTATGCATGCCATGCTTATGCTGTTTATGTCTTTTCGTTTGATGTTCACATCTTAACAATGTCTAATTATACAACGGTGCGAAAAGCTTGCATAAATGATAATGCATTTATGTAGCGGCTCTTTTTATTTAACGGGTGCTCAAATGTGAAGAGTACAATATTGTATTATTCCAAATACTGGGTGCTTTATGTAAACTTGGGTTGTCCCAATCATCACAGATGTTTGAATGCTGCTCGAGACATCTGAAACACCAGAGGTTTCTCAAACAACTTAGCCTATTTGACACAACCCCTAAACAATAACCTACCTAAGGAAACACCTTTGTTGAAACAGTGTGTTAACTTAATTCTTTTGCAAGAGGAAAGTAAATTGATATTTACTCTTTTTAGGTTAAATAGTTAGGATAAACTTCAATTCCTTCTTCTTCCAAATATTTAAAAAAAGCTACGTGAATACTCCCCTTGTTTTCGAAAAAACGCATTTCAACATCGATCATTCATTTTTCGCCATATTGTTCATAGTAAAATTCTCAAACTTTACTAACCAATAATATTGCGGGCACTAATTCCGCCAATTACCAAAAACTTCAAAGGAGTGATTCTTCTGGTTAGTTACATATTCTGTATCTAGGGTGTGTCAAATTAGTCGCAAGACTGACGTTTAATGTTAGAAAATTAGTAATCACATTTAATGACTACAACTTTTTTTGACCATTAAATTCTCAATTTCTTATCGTTCGAATATCATTGTAACAATTCTGTTTCATTTCTGAAAACTCATGCAAATATCTTGTTAGTAAAAATTTCAATGGATTTTAATTTTTGTGAAATTATATTCCATCATCACGGACGTCCGTCGCGAAGCGAGTATGACGTTAGTGGCGCCTCATATGGGGTGAGGCGTACTGATTCCTGGGCATGTAGTATGGAAGTCCAGCGCTACCCAAACTCCAAGACTCCCCTCTCGGCCTAGACGATGTAGTCCAAAGAAACACATAGTGCTACAGGTTGGAATCGCTTCGGCTGTAGGAGCTGCCAGAAAGATGACAGGGTATGTCAGCAGACTGCCTTTGGTGCCCCACTCCGGTTTTCTGTCAGGTTTACTCCTTAGCCTTTTCATCTCCCGAAGATGCCTACAAGGCAGTGGGCCCATTTATCCATGGGTGGAACATACTTGGTCGTTGGGTCACTCCTGTGGACCCTCCTCCCTGGCCGTTGGCTGCCAGTCGCTGCACGTCCGCCCAGTGGTGCAGTGTAAACACCACCCCCTCACATGGTTTAGCCCGCCTGCTGAGACGGTGACCGGGGCATGGCGCTTGGAGCCACATGTGAGAGATTTAGGGATGAGTGGGGACCAGTGATGCCCATCCACCCTACCAGGTAGAGTGCAGCAGCCAGACACCAAAGGTGCTACCCCTCCTCAGAGCCCCAATGCCCAAGACAAATTATATTAACTGACATACTGATAAGCGGGTTCGCTCAACTGGTTTAAGTAACAAAAGAATTAAAGCCATTTCATTGGTCAATAACCTGATCAGTGGATGATCTGTATAGTCTTCGCCGATAAGCGATGTGGCTTAACCACCTGCAGAGTTTGGCTCAAAGCTTATATTATCTATTCTTATCTTGCTTTAACATAGTCAAATAAACCAACTTCTTTTTCTTTCGCAAAGTCAACTGTACTTATTATAGCTCTCTTCATTTTTCCTTACATGAAGTCTACCACCCTCCCTTCCATTTTTATAAAAGGCTCCAAACGTTGTTAACTTCGTAAAAGTCTTTAAATCCAAAGCCCTATTGCTTTTCTCTTATTTGCTTTCGCATTGTGTCGGCCTTTCAAATAGACCTAAATACTTGTATACAGTTTCATGTAGCTCACACATTGCTTGGCCGTAAAAAAGCTCCCTCACAACTAAATTTTTCCCATGTTTCAAAAGTCAGCTGCACATTTATCAAAACCAAACCCCATTCCCATATCTTTAGAATAAATTTGTACGACATCAATCAAACTATTCAGTTCATCTTCTGATCTTCCAATCAACTTCGATCATCGATGAACATGAAGTGGTTAACTATATTTTGAGTCTTCCCATGAAATATTTCTCATGTGAAGAGCTTTCATATGTGAAGTAAGTTCGTATTAAACATTTCACATACGAACACATTTCACATATGAAAACATTTTATATATGAACAAATTTCACATATGAATACATTTCACGTGTGAAAAAATTCGCATACGCTAATAATTCATGAGGAATTTTAGCCCCCAAAATATTTACACATTGAGTACCAAATGTAAATATAAAGGTCATAAAAAAAACCAGGCATACTAATAGTACAAATGCAAAAATGAATATTTACCCAAATACACGCATAGGATTGAACAATAAGCTGTACAGTTTGAAGAAAAAGTTTACTAACAAAAAGTGCCACTGAAGTCTATTTTTTGTGTTTTGTATTTAAAACGAAATTTAGTCAAAATCATGATTAGTAAACTAAGGCAAGCTGTATAAAAGATGTAAAGTTAAAATTTCTAAAATGTTTTATTTAAAATAAATATGTCAGTGATAATATTTGATGTTTTAAATAAAAAACCTTCAAAGAGACAGAAAAACAGAATTGAATTTTGCATTAAATGGGTTTGATACAAAGGTCCAGCTTATGAAAAGAATTAGAAGTTTATAATAAAAGTACACTTGTCAATTCAGTTATTTTTGTATCTTCTACAAGTCTCTTATAATATTTTTATCTTCTACTTCCACGATATTGCAGTCCATATTTGTTGGTCTTTCTCAGCTCCAGGTAATAAAAGGCATTTGATTTGAGAACAGTTGGTTTAAGCATTGGATGATAAAAACAAACCCGGATTAACATAATTATTTAATGTTTCAAACACACTTTTAAAATAATTTTTATGATGTTGATCGATGAATCCACCTAGCTGGTAGGTGTAGAATTTACACTTCATTTACATTTCCTACTTTAGCGCACCATTCTTAAATCCTTTGTTCTACGCCCGGCATCCTTTGCTACCAAAGCAATGTGTAATATTTTATGTAATATGTAACAACACTACATCTTTCTCTTTTTTATGAAGCCTTTGCCAAAAAAACTATCCTTATTTCTAACTACGTATATATAAATCTGTGTTTGTTTTATTCCCCCAGTTAATATCCAACAGAGTTTAGCCGTCGACGTTCTTTTGTTGGTCGTTGATTTTGTCATCCTTGTGCTTACATGGAGCCTAGAAATGCATTTTGTCATCCTTGTCCCTTACGCTTTTGTTTTCCTTATCTACGTCCTCCTCTTCAATGTGGTTGGGAATATGCACTCAGTGGTTTGCTGTCTATGCTGCAATTTTCTTAGAATGAGAGGAATTTATAGTTTTTGTTTTCCCATCTGTTATTTGCAAAGTCACCAATGTACCTTTCTTTATGGTGACAAGTGCGGTCTTGGGATTATAGTAAAAAGACAACCTATTCTTTCGCTGCTGTCTTACTACAACCATGTCCTCTACCTAAATGCTACTGGTGTTGTGATTTTGTTCTTGTTGGTATATATTTTTATCTTACTCTTCGCGTCATGGTCTTTTGGACGAACTTCTGTATCTATTGGAACATTCATCTGTTTTGCTGCTGGTAGTTTTAATTTTCCCGCCAAACAGTAGCTCGACAAGAGACTTTCCAGTGGTGAAATGTGGCAAAGGTCTATACTTTAAAAAAATGCTGTAAACCTTTCTCCAATTCCCTCTCTCAAATTGACTTCTCTTTATTGCCTTTTTTAGAGTACGCATAAAGCGTTCAGCCTCACCGTTAGGAGCTGGCCCCAAAATAGGGATTGGGTGCTAGCGCTGAAGTCCTTTTTCTTTCGCATGCTTTACAAATTCGTGACTATTAATGGGACGGCCAATATCCCATGCATAGAAAAATTCTGTCTAAATTTAGAATGGAAGCTTCAGAGGACGTCCGTCGAAGAGTTTCCAACTCGGGACACGAAGAATAGTCGTCGACAAAAACCAGTAAGTAGTCGCCAGATGAGAAGGACCACAAAAATCGATTGGAAATTCCCTCCACGTTGAAGAATGTAGAGGCGTCATTTGAAGAAGTTTTATTTTTGTATATTGACTTGTTGTATGACATGCTTGATGCAGTTGTCGATTTCTGTCTTTACGTCCTTATCGATACCTGGGTACTATATTTTTCACAAAGTAGCTCGTTCTAAAAATTCCTTGATGGGATTCGTATATAAGTTTATTGCACGAAATTGGAAGCATTTTTTAAGGACTATAAATGTTCTGCGAAGAATGACATTAGAGTCTGCTGCTGTAGTGAGCTACCATTTACATTTTCGAATAGGGTTATTTTAAGGCCATTTTTGCCAGTTTTCGGTAGTAATTGCTTTACAAAGATGTTCCAAGATGAGATCAGGGATAAGAGAATAACTTGGGATGAGTTATTAACTTCTTTGAGAGTCATCGCTTTGGGTATTTCATGGCTAACCACATAATTCACATACTCTTCGGCAATCAGTCGTTCCCTTGATTCCTGATCACGCAAAAGGTGACATGACAGATAGTCAGCAATATTTTAAGGCTCTGGCTTGCATTTCGTGGAGAAGGTGTACGTTTGAAAAGACAGTACAAAGCTTTGAATGCGGATGGGATGATTGGAGGCTGGGTTGTTAAAAATACGTTCCAGTGGCTTGTGGTCTGTAACGATTCCAAATTAAAAGCAATAAAGGTATTCATGAAAGCCCTCGCTACCCTCAATCGCTAGCTAGTGCCTTACGCTCAATGTATGAGTAACGTCGTTCTACAGCGCTAAGTGTATACAACTGCATGTTCTTGTCCACATGCGTTAACTTGTGCTGTACAGCACTTAGTCCTAAGGGATTTGCTTTGAATGTTACAATTGTGGGTTTTACAAGATCAAAATAAGCGATTGCGCAGTCACAGGTCGTTGACTCTTTTGAAACGCAAGAAGACTTGCGCTGTTGATATCCTTAATTCCAAAAACATATATGCGGGAGATTCTGTCAGTGGGGCATAGTTGGGAATAAAATGCGCACAAAGTCCGGTTAATCCTACGAAACTTTAGATCTAAAGGATTTGTGGGAGAGTTAGCACCACAGAGTGCAGCATTTTTCTTAGGATGAACAGACATGCCGTTTGGACGAAACACACAGCCAAAAATGCCAATAGCTGCATATTATATACACACTTGGGGCCATTAAGGGTCAGATCTATTTCATGTAAGCGTTGGAAAGTGGCAGCCAGAGAGGTGTCATTTTCTTCTTGTGCACGCCCGAACATGATGATGTCATCTGAGATGTTCTTAACACCAGGGATTTCTTGTAATGCCTGCTGGATGACTTGTTATAACAATTCGGATATTGACGGAGGCCCTTTTGTTTGGCAAACGTATTAATATATCTGGAAGAGGGCTCCTGGTTGGATCTAGGATTTTTCAAACTTCAGTCATAAAACGTCGGAGGCGCTCCGCACCTGGGGGGGTGGGGTCTAAGGCATTCTCTCTTAAGAAATTTTGAATTTCAGAGCCTTGAAAATGCCATTTTCAGCGTTTTAGAGCAATACAAAATTTTTTTGTGGTATTGTTTTTGCGTAAAAACAACAAATTTGGCTTACACTTTTTCAAAAAAATATGAAGTGAACAACACTTGAATGTTTTGCCAAATATTTAGGCTCATTATCATGCCAAATATATAGCTCATTAGCATGTCTACGAACGTAAAATTTATTTTACAATAATGCTATTCAAAAACAGATATAGTCTTTAAAAATTTCTACCAAGATAACAGACACAGACCCCCCTAGAGACCCTCATTCAAAGCTCTATGTAATGAGTTATATTAAAAATTTGGTACTAAAAGTGACAGTTCATAGATCTAGAAAAGCTCAGACTTCAAACCATGCAAGTTTATTGTAACCCTTTACCCATCTCCACATCAGTGCCAGCAAATTCACCCTTTGAGAAAAACTCAAAATTTTTTTCTGCCAAAGATTAAGCAAAAATTATTAGAGTGAAAATTTGCAGTTAACGTTAGCTTAATGCCATAAATGTTTATCATGCATTTCACTAGACTATTATCTACTGCAAGGTGTGCTATATAGCAATCACCGGTAGCAACGTATTTGCAAATACAAACAGAATGTAACTAACATGTCTTTAATTATATAATTACATGAATGTTAAAATTGATTCATGTGTCTTGCTTACTGGTTATGATAAATATCTTTTTATATGCTCAAAGCTCGTTTAAATGTAAATCTGGTATAATTTAGTTTAGAAATTATAATGATCATCAGAACAATTACCTAGTGATCATGAAAAATACTTTGCTGTTTTGCCAAATTTCAAGGTGTATCTGCATACATAGAAAGACATTTTTACTTTATAGAAAATGCTTTTCATACATCAATAGCCCTTTGGAATTTATGGCAAACAATTTGGTATGAGCAGTAGATTAACACACCTTTACATCTCTAAATGAGGTGTTCAGTAGAAAAAGGGGACAATATGTGACGTGGGACAACATTTCATGTAAGTGAAATACTCAGGTTTAATACCATTCCAGTCTAATTGTCAAAATAAAAAGCTTCATAGATCAGAAAACTCAAAATCACAGGTTAACTATAGTAAACAGCTTCTCATGTAATCAATGTTAATTTTCTCAAATCTTAAACAATATGTAGTATAATTGTCCAATGATTGAATGATCAATGATCATAAACTGAAAAGCCCCAAACATTTGTTTATGATAAAGTAAATAACAGTATGGCCCCTTATAGCTACAGATTTTTTGTCCATTGAAATATATTTGCAAGAATGTAGGATTTCGCTGCCATATAACGGCCACGATTCCCAAGCAACTGTCTCATGAACCTGAAAAATTCAAGTGACTCAACGGGTTCGAATCCCGTTTATCTACATTTAATTTCAAACACCGCACTGCATAAAACATTCTTTCATATGATTTGTCAATGGTAGGTGTACGATTAGCTCTAATAAAGAAAGAAGCAATTATCAATTAATGTAAAGATGTGTTGTTTACTTTTAATGTTGATCAATGACTGGAAAATTAGGTTTAATCCTTTTTAAAGTATTCACTGCTACTTTGTTTATGTAGAATGTTTGTCCTCAAGGAAAGTGAAATGAAAGCCTACTTTATGACTGAACGGTTGAAAACAGCTTTTTTTGTTATTTTAAATTCACATAATCCTTGCACAAATCATATTTTCACCAATCTAAAATTGATAAAAGGAAAGTTCAGGATGCATGTAAATACAAAAATAAAACGTACGTGCGTATAGTTGAGGTTTGCCGTTTGCTTTAAACACCGAACAAAAACTGTTTAATAAGCGTAACCATAACTGGTTCTGCAGCGTGCATTCATAGCAATAGGAACTATTTTGCAGTTGTACAGTTTACCATTTTTTACATTGTTTCATTTTAAGACAGGACGGTTATATTTTGATTTTTAAATATCCTTGAAATCAGTAAAGTATTTTTTAAATTTTTTAAGTTGGTATGTCAAATGTTTGTGAAAATTGTTGTAATTTGAGAAGAGATGTTGCCCACTAATACATATTTTTGACTTGCAAAATAAAAAGAAAATATGATTGTAAAGCAAGTAATAGCGATTGATGTACTCTGTGATATTTGTGCTGTTTCTAGTTAAAGACGGTAATTAAGCAAGTAACTTAGGATCCGTTAATATGAGCTCGAAATGACAGCCAGCCAGGGTCTTCACGTCTACTAATAAATCATTATTAACATTTACACAAAAGCCGGGTAAATTTAGCAAACCGGCGCACTCTTTTCAAGACCTGGGTTAACAACGTGTTAGAGCGTTAAATTTAGCTCATTTCTCGATGTAAACATTGGTTGGCTTGTCTTTAGATTTTTTTTTGAACCAGCCGAGGCTGAGCATTGCTGACCCGGGTTTTAGCCCGGGTTCATGTAAACATAACCGTCTATCGCTCTCTGACCTATAAATATCAACCTGGGCTTGTGTAAAGTGTGCCTTATGATCTATATCGTATAACTGATGTTGTTTACTATTTAAACGCTAATTTTTCTGTGGCTAATCTGTATGAATTTTAAGGTTTATTGTTTGAAATTTCTTGCAATAAGCCGCAATAAGCCAATTTTTCTCCATTTATCTAGCAGAAGCGACTAAAGACCTTCCTCATCATTTTTCTCGCAATGCAGGCTATTGTTTTCTATTATTTGTACAATTACAAAGGCTATAAAGATATGCTCCAACCATTTTTTTGCTAAACTTGTCTCTATTTTATATTTATTTGACGTTGTTATGAAGTCACTAAAGGTTTCTTCAAAAACACTCTTCTATAGTGCTTAACATACAGTTCACAGAAATTATTTTGCTCTACCTCATTTTTCTTTAGCTGTAAAGTAAATTTCTTTTAGTAAAGAAATCCCTGTTTCCATGCACAGGCAAAACTAACATTAGCAAATGATAAGTACCCTAGTTATCCATAAGCAACTAAAAACTACGGTTTTTAATAGTAATTATTGCATATTTCCTTCTTATATGCTTCACGACTTTAAGAATGTATCTCGCATTACTGTTATCTCTTAAGGAAAGCCATAGTGGACAAAAGTAATCGACAATATTTTTCTGTTTGAGATTATTTTTTATTTGTTGAGAATACATGTTTTATAGTCCAGCTAGATAACTTTATTACAGTCATGAATTTTTTGGCAGTGGAGAATTTTTCGGCAATTGAAAATGAAAAACTAAGTCTGATTATAAACTAAGAGAAAGATGGCGAAACTCTTTCATTTCATTACTGTGGTTTTATTAGACATGTCAAACGTCTCAAGAGCTGTCGATATAGATTTAGAAAAACTTTTATTATCTATACAACACTGTATAGAACGTATAGATAGGAGCGAATTTCTTGGTAACTTCAATTTTTTAGAAGATTTATGTGATTGCCTTGAAGGACATATTTGAATAATAATGGCCATCTCCTTAGTCCTTAGCAATGAACAACATCCGCAGTTACTCAATATATTGAGAGAAAAACTTCGATTTCTGCGAACACAGATTATTTTATGTAATGAGCAAGTTACGATACGTTCTAGAATCCCAGTCCCGCAAGATGCAAGCTATGGAGGCAGATGTAGGTACATTGTTACAGCAGACCAAACTGAAGATATACGCAGTACGGGTATGAATTGCAAGCCATTGCCAATTTCCTCAGAGTGAGTGCCAAAACTCTTTACAGAAGAAGAATAGACTATGGTATAGCAGGCACTTACCGTGACATAACAGAACAAGAACTTGAACGGTACATAAGAGATATTTTTAGATTGACACCCTTCTCTGGCGAAACTTACGTAAGAGGAGCTTTGCGCGGTCGGGGTATTAACATCCTAAGATGGAGAGTTAGGCAAGCGTTAGAAACTATTGACCCTATTAACCGTGCCTTAAGACGGAGATACGCTGGTGGGTTTGCTAAGGTGGGTGTACTATGTAAGGAAACGAAATCATCTCTGGCACATTGACTCCAATACCAAACTACTTGGAGACTTGTCCTGCAGGGTTGAATCGACGGCTATAGCAGAAGTATTAATTATTTGAAATATTTCACGAACAATCTTGCGCAAACTGTTTTGCAATGTTTTGTCAGCGGTGCACAAAGATTTAGGATTCCATCTTGCGTACGTGGTGATAGGGAGGTGGAAAATGTACACGTTGCACGGTTTATGATAGCTAGTAGAGGTCTAAACAGAGGAATCTTAATAGCCGGACGCAGCGTGCATAAGCAAAGAATTAACGTCTTTAGGCGGAGGTGAATAGAGTGAGTTCTTTATACTATAAAGGTCTATTCCGCTTTATGAAGGAAAGCGAGCTTCTTGATGCGCACGATGAAATCGATTTGTATGCTTTGCACCATGCTTACATTCCTGCAATACAAGCCTTGCTCAACGAGTTTGCCTGCCAATGGAATCATCGTGGACTTTGAAGTATGTCATCCCCAGCACTGTGGCGTTGTGAGCTTAATGAAACTGATTTAACAAACGTAAATATCGATGATGTAATTTTATATGGCATTGATCCTGATGGCGCGGTAGGTGATGGCAAAACGGACAATATGGTTGCTGTCCCGGAAAGTTCAGTTGAGTTAACCGCAGATCATGTCAATGAAATACGCCGCCTTTTTTCGGAACCTTTAAGCGATGATGGCAATCACGGAATTCACCACTGCATCACAGTTCGTTAATATTTGCAAATCATTTTCAGTAATAATAAGAACTATTTAATAAGAGATTATTAGAATGAATTGAGACTTAAAAATATACCTTTTTATGAACAATTGTCGTATCTACTTTCATTGTCACATATTAGAAGTCAGAGGATCTTTAAAGATTTGTGCCGTTCTTGCATTTGGCTAAGAGAAACACAATATAAGTAGTATAAGACATGGGGATATCAGCGCAAAAAAAGACCATGGTTCAAAGGGGAACCAACACAAAAGGTCATGTAAAAAAAGCTGCGCAAAAAAAGTCATTGTTTCAAAGTAGGTGTAAAAGGCCGTGTTTTCAAAGGGGAACCAACGGAAAAGGCCATGTAAACAAAGCTGTGCAAAAAGCCTATGTTTTCAAAGGGGGGTAAAAATCTTGAGTTTACAATCTATCGTTTAAAAATATGGAATCTATATGTTTTTTGAAATATATAGGTGCGTTTTAATTTTACAAACAGTCTTTACAAATAAATGTTAATAAAGCATCAGTTCGGAGGAAACTCTGCAGCGCAGAGCACAAAGTGCTCGAGCAGGGGGATGGAGTTTCCGAGAATTCTTGTGAGCCTGGTGGGTAAAAAATTCTAGCTTTAGCTAGAATTTTTGGCTCGCCCCCGTGGCGTCCGAAGGACGACAGACATAACATATGCTCTTTAAAAACTATCTTTAAAAACTATCTTTAAAAACTATCTTTACAAATAAATGTTAAAAAAGCATCGGTTCTGAGGAAACTCGGCAGCGCAGAGCACAAAGTGCTCGAGCAGGGGGATGGAGTTTCCGAGAATTCTTGCGAGCCTGGTGGGTAAAAAATTCTAGCTTTAGCTAGAATTTTCGGCTCGCCCCCGTTGTGTCCGAAGGAAGACAGACATAAAATATGCTCTTTAAAAAATATGGAATCTATATGTTTTTTGAAATATATAGGTGCGTTTAAATTTTACAAGCAGTCTTTACAAATAAATGTTAATAAAGCATCGTTTCGGAGACGATCCGGCATCGCAGAGCATGATGTGAATATTACGAAGTAATATTTACTCCATGCTCGAGAAGGGGGATGGGATCGTCGAGAATCCCTGCGAGCCTGGTGGGTAAAAAATTCTAGCTTTAGCTAGAATTTTCGGCTCGCCCCCGTGGTGTCCGAAGGACGACAGACATAACATATGCTCTTTAAAACTATATTTAGAAATCAAGTGTTAATAAAGCATCTTTTTAAATCGTTGTCTCGGGGCGAAAATTTCCGGCTCCAAGCCTTAAATTTTGAGCGCCACAGACATACATATGCTCTTTACAAAATCTGGAATCTATATGTTTTTTAATTTGTCTGTCAAGCGCGTGTCTTAGTGCATGTTTTTTAACAATAGTTGTTTAATGTAACCAGCACTTGTAAATATCAGCGCATGTATAATAATACAATGTTTTATATAATTTTTGTTTTACAAACTGCCTGCAGCAAACAGTTATTACAAAAGGTATATATGCGGTAAACTGTTTTGTATTAATTACTGGTAACAACAGTTATGTGATATGTAGTCAAACATGAGGATTACTCTTCATCTTAAGTTTTAGCTTGATAGTTATCTTTAATAAATTTTTTTAATTTTTCGATTTCATCATTTACAAATTTTTTAGTTGATAGAGTATTATCTTCTATAGTAGCCCTAAAATTTTGTGAAAAACCATTATATGTTAATATCAATGTAGATTGATGTTGTGAATAAACTTGCATTTTGGTTAATCCATTAAATACGTTAAGCCATTTTTTTTCCATTCGTTATAATCAATTGAAGCTATGGATTTTTTTGGTTCAATAATAATATAAATATAGTTGAAATCATCATCAACACAGTATACGTAATATAAATCTAGTAATGCATTAACTATCTTTTTTTCATTGTCATTTGTTAGTTTAATGATAATTTTTTTTTTTAATCTTATCTACCATCATATCTAATTCAATTGTTTTAGAGTTATCAGACGGATTTATTAATAAAAGTGTAAATTCAATAGATTTAATATTATTAAAAATAATTCTGATAGTATCTTGTTGGCTATTAAAATTTGTATAATTTAATTGATTGCTATGGTATACTACTTTACCATTTACTCTGCTATCAATCTCATTCTTTGTATAATAGTTAGTTAAATTAGAAGTCAAAGCATACTTACCATCAGCTTGTGTTTTAGTATAATTGTTATTTAAATTAGAAGTCAAAGCATACTTACCATCAGCTTGTGTTTTAGTATAATAGTTAGTTAAATTAGAATTTAAAGCATACTTACCATCTGTTTCACTCTTTGTATAATATTTATTTAAATTAGAACTTAAAGCATACTTACCATTTGTTTCATTCTTTGTATAATAGTTGGCTAATCTTGAAACAAAAACATATTTATTATCAGCTTGCATTTTAGTATAATATTTTAGTAAATTAGAAGTCAAAGCATACTTACCATCAGCTTGTGTTTTAGTATAGTAGTCATTAAATTTACCATCAGCTTGAGTTTTAGTATAGTAGTTATCTGATAGATGTGTTTTATCTACAAACCCTTGTATATTTAAATTAATATCTGTTTTATCATGCCCATAAAATAAGCTCATTTATATTATTACTCAGATTTTATATCCGGTTTATTATTTTTATGTTCGTAAACATGTTTAACGGTTGTTATACCACCAGATAAAAACCCTAAAAAAGGTAACAATGGTGATACTTTTTCTACTAAACTGTACACATCTCGTTTTAAAAGGTCGTCTGATTTAAGCTGTTTTGTTAATTCTTTGGGATCTTCAATAGCATCAAACCCTTTTAATACATCTGAAAATTTTGATATAACTAAATCAGTTAAAAACTCATTAGCTTTTTGTAATCGTTTTTTCTCGTATTCACTGTATAATTTATCAATAATTTTTTGACTAGCTTTTTTAATGTAAGCAACTGACTTGTCTAAATCACCATCTTCAGCTAGTTTAAGTAGTTGATCTCTTTTATTAAAACCCTCTTGCGGTTTATCTTGTATATTTTCGTCACAAACCGCGTCTTTGATAGTATCATTTGTGGAATCAATCTCATTAATTATATCATCAATTGTTTCAGGCTCTTTACGCTTTGGCATATATATATATATATAACACATGTTTTATTGCGGAATAACTATTTTCCATTGGTATGGGTATACAAGTTGGATTTCTAAATGTGCATACTTATTATTTTTCAATTTTTTGGTTATTTCTTCTATATCATCTTTTTCAACACCATAAAGATAATCATCAAATATGGTTTTCATATCATTGCGGTTTGTATTATAAAATGTAACTAAATAACTTATATTTTCGCGATAAGGCTTAGAAATACTAGTCAATTGCTGTGTAATCACAATAGTAGAAAGCCTATAATGGCAAGCACTGTACCCTAATCGTACTAATTCCGATGTCCTATTTTTAACATCTGAGCAACTCGCACAGTCATCAAGTATAATAAGACTATTGGTGGCTTTATATACATCACCAACATACTTTAAAACAATATCTACACGATCTTGGTCACATTCTACTTTAATTAAATCAGAATCATTTATATATTTCCATTCTTGATAGGTTTTATTATATGATAGCGTTGGGCATAATAAAATAATATAATCAAAATGTCTATTAAAGTTTTCTTCTAACATTTTGAGAAGGTAAAAAGATTTCCCACAATTGGTCATTCCTAAAACAATCATATTAAAAGGTGTATTCATTTATATATTACTGGTTATTTTAGTATTGAATACTTTGTAAATCATTATTAACAAATTGAACAAGAGCATCACTAACAACATAGATGTAACAGTTTAAATCTTTTGTATATGCTCTTTTTTTAATCTGTAGTAAAATACCATTTTGAGTACTAACGATTATTTTACCGTTACCTGCAATATTTTTTTCTTGAAAGGTGCGTAGATCGATAACCAGTGCAAATTTATCCTTATAAAATTTTTCAATTTTCATGAAGCAATCTATCGGGATAGTTCTATCAAAAAATCGTCTTGCTTCTTCATAAAATTGTTTTTTATCCATACCTTGGGCGAAAATAACATTAGGCACTCCTTCGACCGTTATTTTAACTTCATCAATTAATGGAAATACAAATTTTTCACTATCACTAACTGCATCTTCTTTAAATAGCAGTACTATTCCTTTCATGCTTTTTCTGGGTACATTGACGTTAACATTCTGTATTGTACTTGACTTATCCCATTTTTCCTTTTTTAATAGGGTTATATGTTCATAAAATAGACTTCTTCCTATAGAATATAAATTTGTCACCTCATCTGCAATTTCTTGATTTTCAATAGTTTCATATTCCAGCTGAATATTTTCTAATTCATAATCACCAGTAGATTGACTGCATTGAGGTATAAGTACTTGATCACTTGGTGGTAATGTTATTATGTATTGAATGTTATTATTCATATTGAAAGGGCAATACAAACCATGGTCTTTAAGAATATTATCAATATTAATTTTCTGCCTAGTACCATAAATATCAAACATTAATTTGTCTGCTACTTTTTCTGAATCTCCACTTGTTGAAGCACTATCATCCTTAGAAATAAGTTTTCTTAGATTTTGGCTACATATACCATATTCAATAAGGCCTTGTCGATCACTTTTTGGCAACCACAAGTCTTTGTATATACTTATAACATCATTATTATTACAGTCGTATAATGTCTCACCAGCAACTTTAATTTGTAGTCTATTTTGTAAAATCTGACTGAGATTATTTAGAAAGTGACTTTTTGTATTACTGATTTTAAGATCAAACGATAGATTAACTGAACCAGGGACTAAACAACTATTTTTTAATTTGGTATATTAACATAAACTTGTTCATTCGGTTTAACACTATTAGGGTTAAAGGTTATACTAAAAAGTACGGTTACCTTTAATTTTTGCCATAGTACTCCTTTATAACCAGGTAAAAGCTCTTCTTGTAATCTGTTCATATATATATTAAAACATATTTTATTTTTTTCTTTGTTTATACTGGTCATATATTAACAAAGCAGCAGCAATAGCTAAAACCCAAAGATTAGAAGCTACCCATGCTAGACCTTTAGCTCCCCAAGATATAGCCTGAGCGATAATATTCAATAATGGTTTTAACACTGGCCATAATTTTTTACCTAGATTTGTAAAGCCTTAGAAAATTTACTAGTAGCTTGAGCACCTTGTACGATTGCTTTTCTTGCACCAATGATAATGGTTGTAATTATACCAGCCATAGATATAACTAAAGCTGATAATCCTGGGATATTTTCCTTAACCCATTCTTTAAACTGTTGTAATCTAGTAATGTCTTCTTCCTGTTTATCTCGTACATCCTCTTTCTCTAATTGCTCTTTTTCTTCTCTAATTATAAGTTCTAATTCCGCAGCTCTTTCGTGCAAATTAGTTAATTCATCAATATTGTTGTCAATACTATTTTCATTTTCTATTTCATCTATTCTAGCTTGAGTTTTGTTTAGCTCTTCAGCAAAGTGATTTATTTGTGCTTCTATGAATTGTGGTCGTGTTCTTTTATCAATAGTTCCAGATGGGGTCATTACACCTATATGTTCTCTAAGTTCTTCATCAGTTATTTGGTTGAAATTATCTGTATATTGATTATTTAAATCAACCATAGGCATACTCTCTTCAGTTTTTATATATTCATTTTGCAAATTAATAATATTTTTAATTTCGTTTTTAAATTGTTTAACAGCTTCTTCTGATTTTTTTGTCTTATTGTATTGTAGTACTCCATTACTATTACGTTTTAAAACAATTCTCCCATCACCTCGCTCATTTCTTGTATTTAATGGTTTATAAGTGATATGATTTAAATCCGTTTTACCTAAATTTAATCTAAAATTTATACCTTCATAATCTGCCATACCTTTTAGGTGATTAAATCTAAACTCTGTTTTATAATTTTTTGTAATAAACTGCTCAACAGCAAAAGAAACTTCATTTCCAGGTCTAATAATATTTGTATAAACAGGAGTGGAAGTAGGAACATCAGGAAGAGTATTAGTTTTATTTGTCGTTTTTCTTATTGTTACACCAAAATTATCACCAGTAAATGATGTTTCATAATATTCATTATAATTGTTATTATCTTCTTGCTTATTATCTTCTTGCTTATTATCTTCTAGTTCAATATAATCAAAACCTTCAGCCATTATATATATTACTCTATATTTTGTATTTCACTTTCAGGAATCCAACTGTTATGTTTATTATCATAACCTAACCATTTAACTAAAACCATCTTTTTACCTTTGACCTTCTTACGTTTTAATATCTTTTCAACTCTATAAACATCATCTTTCTTATTCACAACTGATAGTTCCTCTTCATAAAATTTACCGATTATAGGCTCTCCTTCTGTATCCTCTATCTCATATAAATTCGGGTCTCCTCTAATAACTTTAGTCACTCTAAACAACTCTTCTGTAAAATTTGCTTCATAACCTTTCGTAAATATAGATTTATACTTTGATATTCTAACCATATCACCAATTTTAATCTTAGGTAATGGTAAATAAGCAACTTCATGACCGTATAATGTATTCCATACTTCATCTTCATTATTTTTATTAACATCTTTAGGCTTCATCAAGATTGTACTGTGTTTTGTATTGTTATAATTATATACTAAATCATCCAATATATCAATCCATTTATATGTTCCTTTACTGTAAAAATATTTCCACATAGATGTTTTAAGCGTTCTGTTGAATCGTTCGACAATCGCAGCCTTTTATCATTTTTAGTAGAGAAGTACTTAATTCCATGTTTCTCTAATAATGATTTGACACCTACATTATAAAATTCTTTACCATCATCAAATTGAGCTAGTTTGGGTAATCATTAAATCTATCTTTAAATTGACTTAATAGTTTTGCAACAGCTTTTGTCATATTATTTGTGTCTTTCCTATAAACAGGGATAGTAAATGCATATCTACTTAATATTTCAATAGCTGTTAATATCCAATAATAACCATTGTTTTATACTTATAAGAACCCATATCAACTAAATCCATTTGTATTTGTTCACCAAGATAGTTTACCCTTGTTT